TGTCGCCGGCGCTGTCGCCGGCGCTGTCCCCGGGCCCCGGTCCTTCTCCTGGCCCAAACCCCAACCCCAACTCCAACCCCAGCCGTTGGCAGCCCAGGGCCTCGGACAACCTCGGGTTCCAGATCATGTTGACTGCTGCGTACAAGCCGACAATGTGGCTCAGCAATGCACGGGTGCGTGCTCAGGTATTGTGGTTGGGATCCTTTGGCGAGGAGGGCGGGTTCAGGGCAGGTCGCGCTGCAAGTACCGTGCATGCAAAGCTGCCCGAGGAACCTCGTTGCTGCGGCTTCTATCGAGGAACCCCTATCACATGCCCCATTTTGCGCCATCCAATACTGTATGGCCACATGAGCGAGTCTGCACTCTTGATGCAAGATGAAGCACCTCACCTGCGCGACCCACCCCCCTGCAGGTGTACATCATCGACTTATTCCTCAACACCCCCACGGCGACAGCCTCCATCACTGCCAAGGGCGGCTTCGCCGTGTGCCACTTCAACGCCGGCCAGTTTGACAGCGGCACCCCGGACGCGGCGGCTTTCCTGCCGGCCGACAAGCCGGCCGGCAGCTGGCTGGACATCAGATCGCAGAACGTCCGTCAGATCATGAGGGCGGTGAGTCGCAAGATCTGGGCAGAGGGACAGCATGCCTTCTCGGGCCAAGCATTTTAGGCGCATGTTTACACATGAATGCGGTGGCCGCGCCCTTGGACAGGATTTTGCTACCTCCCTGGCAGTTGCCTCCATAGCAGCCATCCCTCGCCTGCCCCAACCCCTCGCCCTCGCCTCCCTCCTCAAACAGCGCCTGGAGCTGTGCAAGTCGAAAGGCTTTGTCGGCGTCGTCCCAGACAGCGTGGATGCGTACAGCAACGCCAACGGCATCGGCCTCACCGCCTTGGACCAGCTCAGCTACAACCAGTTCCTGGCTGACAGCGCCCATACTCTGGGGCTGGCGATCGGCCTTCGGAACGATCTGGAGCAGATCCAGCAGCTGCTCCCCTCCTTCGACTTCTTTGTAAACGAGTGAGTGCCTCCGACCAGGCAGGAGGTTACTCTCTGCCAAATCTGCGTCTGACACCACCTGTGTGCACCCAATGCTTGGCAAGCCAAGAGACGGATTGCGCTCCGTTCCTGCTGGGGCAGCGCTAGCGTGAGCGCCGCAGAGCGGGCCTGCGGCCGCCAAAGCAGCCTGTAATAAGCCATGCCATCGCGCCTCTGACCATGCATCTCTTTGTATCGTGCCCTCTACACCAGGTCGTGCATGAAGTTCAATGAATGCCAGCTCTACAAGCCTGCACAGCTGGGTGAGCTCCTGCCACACAGCAGCAAAAACGCACAATAGCAGCCTATCCGGCCCGCCCGCCCAACGGCAGGCGGCCTGCCACGCCATGATCCAGGCCTCGTTCAGGGGTGCCCGTGTCTGCTTCACAAACGCAGCCTCCAAAATCTTGCCGCGTGATCCCCTCCACTCCTGCGCAGCCAACCTGCCCGTGTGGCAGATCGAGTACGGCACCACGTCATCCACAACCACGGCCTTCAAGAATGTGTGCCGCTGCCAGGCAACCTGGGGCATCAAGTCCATCTACAAAAAGAACCTGGGCACCTTCCGCACCGCGTGCGCGTCCACGTCCAAGGCGTGTCCCTTCGCCGCCCGGAGGCTGCTGGCGTGACGTGTGCCGGCAACGAAGAACTCTACTGTGTGCACCGTGCGCAGGGCTCCCCACTGGCGCCACAAAAAGCACTGGTTGAGTCCTCACACCCGCGTGCGGAGAGTCGCCACTTGCGCCATTGCCGAGGGAAGGCGCCCGCACGTCATGGGCTGCTGTGCTTCCCAGGTTTGGTTTTGTTGGTTGTATATTGCCAAAACCTTCTCCCAGATTTTCCAGAGGCGCCTCCTTTTTTGGAGCAGCGTCGATTGAGGGCGCCACAAAAGCGCATGCGCACGAGCGCTCCTGACCATGTCAGGTAGGCAATCACCGCGTGTGCACACAGAATGGAGGTTGTGCATACATCCTGCTCAGTGTTCACATCAGGCCACCTCATCGGATGAGGTGTGCTTTGCGGCCGCCGTTGCTGCTTGTGAGTACGCTGCTCATCGCTTGACCATTGCTTATGAGAACGTCCTTTCCCGTCGGCGCAAGCATTCCTTCACGGCCTGTGCAAACCCCAGCGGCCCTTGCCCGCTCGCGGCGCCGGCGCGCGCCGAGTCCGGGGCAGCCAGCTCGTTGATGCGCCCTATTTCTTACATGACACGGCCCAGCTCTGCAGCTGGTTCCCCGCGTCCCTACCTTGCCTCACAAAGGCCTGGGGCTGGGTAGGCGCACAGAGTGACAAAGCTTTGCCCGCAAGGGGTTGAACATCAGTGCTAGGCACCTGCCAATCATCCAAACTGGCAATCGATATTAGCCGGCCGCTTAATGTGTGTCCAGCGTGCTAATTGCGGGCTTGCAGCCTGCATCACATTTTCGAGCACGCGCGGCGGCGAGGGGACGCAGCCCTTTGCTTCGCGCTCCGCCCAAATCGGCCCCTTAACTGATGCAATGGCCCTGCGCTCGGTGCCTCGGCGCGGGCCCCGTTCTCACCTGCCTTCATGCCATAGTTTCCTCCCCTCACGCAATATGTTCTTCTACAACAGCTGCGTGCTAGGAAAGCCCGCCTTGGGCCGCATTGTCATATCTTGAGATGCGGCTTGCCCCCGCTGCATCTGTCGTCCTGTCATTGACTTTGTAACGAAGCTATCCAGTGTTTATGGCGGCTGCAGCTGGCAGCAACTTAACATCATAAGGGTCATAAGATGTTGCATGAGCGGCGCGCTCGAGCCGTGCTGCCTTGGATGACCCCGGGGCGGCGGCGGGGTTTCAAATGGAGCACCAGCACGCATGCATACAGTAGACTGGTCCACTCGGGTGTGGAGACAGCGTCAGCCACGCAGAGAACGTGACGTGGGAACTGAAGCTACAGGAATTCTCAATCTGCCTGGCCTGCATCGATCCCTACATGAGGAACGCGGGTTTGCACGCTGGTGTTTGGTTCTGGTGACGGGTGCAGCGTCGGCCCAGATCTTGAGCGCACCGGGTGCAGACTGCGGTCGTAAGAATACAGTTGAACGCGTTTAATATTGTTTACAGGGTCCCTTTCAAACGCCTTGATTGCCTAGAAGCCGGCGCGTTTGATCATTCCACGTAGGGTCACCCGCGCCATAGCTTTTTCCTGCGAGCACCGGACCGCATTGTGTCGGTTGTGTAGAGATGGCGTTCACTGCTGAGGAGCTTGCGCTGGCGGAGGTGCGGGGCGGGGCGACGCGCAGCATGAGGAGAGGCCGAGCGTATCTTGTGCAGCATGTGCTGCAATGCGCCTGCGGCGGCGGCAATGGGATCCGCGCCCCCTGACAGCCGGGACCAACAGGTGTCTTTGGCAACGGCATGCAGCGACATCATCCTACCCATGCATTCATTGGCTACGCTGTGCCTCGGAGCCACGCAAGGGCCCGACTCACCTTCCACCAAACATTGGCAGAGCGCGGCGCCCGCGGCCGACCGCCCGCTATGCCGCCCGCCCGCCTGCCCGCCACGCACACGCCCGCAGCCCCAGAAGGAGTCGACCATTGAGGCCTGGTACATGGACGATTCCGAGGAGGATCAGCGGCTGCCACACAGGCGAGCGCGGTGCAGTGGCCGCGCCGCCTGCCAGCCGCACGCATGCTGCTGGCCCGGCTCGATCCCAAGCGGGCGAGCGCCCCCTCTTTAGTTGCAGGACGGAAACAGCCTGAGTGGCTGCATCCGACCCGCAGTGCACTACTGGCGTCCATAATTGACTGACCTCATGCAGCTCCTCGACACTTGTGGCTTTTCCCAGCAGTGCACACGCGCGCACGCACACACTCGTGCGCGTGCGCAAACACACGCATGCAAACACACACACACACATACACACACACACACACACACACACACACACACACACACACGCACTTCGCACGGCAGGCGGAGCCCAAACAAGCCGGCCACTCTGTCGGACCTGTCAAAGCTCGGGGTCACGACGTGGCAGCTGGACGCGGACGCACACGAGACAGACCCCAAGCTGGCGGCGGTCCGCAAGGTCCGCGGCTACTCTTACACGGTGAGTCATCACTGGAGCAGTTGCGGCACCATTGGATGGGCGAGCGGTGGGGGAGGCGGTCTGAAGAGCGGGGTCAGGGTTTTGTGGGGAGCAAGGGCGCGGAGCGCGATGTGGGTGACGGCGTCTGAGCCCCCGTGTCGTTTTGCAGTCGCGCTGCCTGGCCGACCGTCACTTGGATGTCCCAACATCCAGCTTTGGGTCGTCTCACACCTTTTGTTCCGTTCCAAGCAGCCCCCTCGCCCACTCACCCCTCCCCTCTGCACTTTTCCCTCGCCTTCTGCAACCTTGACTCATTGCTCAATCCCTGCAGGAGATCATCACAATTTCCAAGGACAAGCTCCCCGGCTACGAGGAGAAGATCAAGAGCTTCTACGAGGAGCACATTCACAACGACGAGGAGATCAGGTGATCTGGTTGCAATCTGGGGCGGTGCATTGTAATCCCCAGGGAAGTGACTGGGTGGGTGAGGGGGGGTGAGAGCCTACGCGCCCTGCAGCTGCACCTACCAGCATGGACTTGCGCCTGGGGAGCCAAGAACAACTCAGGAGGCCGCGACCCGTGGTGCCGTGCTGCCACCTCGCTCCTGTGCTCCCTGACTTGCACTCTT